CTCAGTCATCTCCCTCCAGGTACCGCCAGTCACTGATGCAACAGTACTTTTGGATCCAGTTTGACGGCGTACGTGAGGGACTCCATGGAACCTGTCTCTTATACACATCTAGATGTGTATAAGAGACAGGGGTAGGGATGTACTGTATTGTAGGGATGCATGCAGTGGATTTAGAACTGAAAACGTGACTGCACGGTCGTCCCCCCCCCCCCCCCCCCCCCCCCCCTCCAAAAAAAAAAACCGACTCCCCACTCCCCTGACCGCCTCACAGGTGCTACTGCGAAGTGCAAGGAAGAATTCTCTCTTACCTTTGACCAGTCCAAATCCCGCAGCTCCCATGGGCTATGCTCAAAGATGCTCTACAACATACAGACAGACAAACACGCACACAGAGACACGAGTTGGTGAAAGTGCAACAAAACAGTCTAGCACAGTTGCACAGTCATGCTCTTTTTGGGGAGCTGTGTATTGGCAAACATGACAGCATGTGGAGAGAGAGAGAGAGAGAGGGAGAGAGAGAGAGAGAGAGAGAAAACAAAAGGGCTAGAGTCGAAAGAAAGGGAACAGAACTCGTAGACAAGGACGCACAAAAAAGACAAAAGAGAGTGGAGGAAGGAGGACGGGAGGGAGGGAAGGGCACAGAAGACCAAGACCTGCAATGGGAGGAAGGGCCAATAGCAAAATTGAGGAGTGCATCCAGATCATGAAAGCCCAAAGAGCCGGCATGTTTGAATTGCACATGGCATACGTAAGGGAAGAGGAAAAAGAAAGGGCACAAATCAGTCCATGCAGTCAATCCCATTGTCAGAAAACCAGTATGAAGCACTGAACAGGGAATACTGCAGAATAAAAAAGAACCAAACAAAGAGGCAAAGCTCAGAGAGAGGAAAAGAAGATCAGGAGGAATGCGAGGACTGGAGAGAGGACAGGTACAAGAGGCCTGATCTGCCAGAAACATACAACAAGAGGAAGAAGGGAAAGGACAAAAAGAAGGGGTCTCCAAATGGGGAAAAGAGAAAGGAGTCCAAACAGATGGAGAAACCCAAGGAAAAGGGGGAGGCAGAGGGCAAGGCAGAGGAGCCAGAAAGGGAGGAAGACACTCTTGTTGCAGTCGGAGGTGCTGACAGCCCAGGTGCAAAGGCTGTCAGATCTCAATGAGGAAAAATGAGACTAAAGACAGTCACAGTCGGCAGTCTGAATGACAGCACACAGTTTGAATTACAAAACAGAACAAAACAAATCAGCAGTTCCCCTCGAGGACTATCTTTTTTTGCCATGCGCTTCAATGATCAGTTGGAGGAATGATAATTTGCAACAGCAGACAAGATTCACCTGCCGAGACTAGAAAAAGGCCAAAACGTCGAGGAAAGATTGCGCACATTGATATCAGAAAAAGCTCCGACACAAACAGGCCTATCAGGGGAAGTGTTTTTAAATGCTTGCACCGGGAGAAAAAAGGAATTGTGAGGAACAAGCCCTCAAGTGGCCCTATCAGACATCACATTGTTCTGGGCTAAGGCCCCCAGCAAGCCAAGTGCCCGCCCTAAGCGAAGGCGGGCCTGAATATTCGTCAAAGGCAAAATTCGACATTTTTCCACATGTGGGTATTCAGGCTCTCGCAACACGCCAGTTGGTTGGGAAGACGCGTGAGCCTCACATTGCTGCGTCATACAGTTGGCCCAGGCCTTGACAGTTGCGCCTGGGCACACATACACAAAGCAGGGCGGATACATTGGGAAGCAGGCCTTCGGCCTTTGCAAAAGCAGTAGTGCCAACGCACCTGCCTGGGAGCCCTGCACAGATGTAGCAAACAGCCCAAGTCCGGAGACTCAGGCCGTGCCTAACTGCAAAAGGGCCCAGGCCCTCAACTGTAGTCTCGGGCCTGGGTGCAGGGTATGTGACCCAACCGGAAGCTACTGGAAGCTTCCAGCCAGGCCGCACGCAGCATCCAGGAGGCTGCCACTTCCACAAAAGGAAGAGAGCAGCCCAGGCCACGTATTCTGGCCAGCGCTGGCAATGCGGAAGCGCTGCTGCGCTCTCGCTTGATGCTGCGCTGCTGCCACGGGCGCTGACGGGGCGCAAGAGGTGAGGTGGGGCGCTGCAGGGCAGCGAGGCGCTGGCAGCCATAGCCGGCTGCTGGGCGCCAGGGGGTACAGCGGATGATCGGGTGTTCTTCAGGGAAGGAGGCGCTGTGTGGGATAATCAAGGTCTGATTGAGGGTGACGAGATACGTACCTGGTACATGAAGAGAGGTCGGCGATGGTGTTGGCAGTCATGTACATTGGTCTTCGAGAGTCGAAGTGGTCCTGTTGCGTGAACCGGCTTTAGGTAGGCTAGTCAGGTAGAGTAGGCTGGGCACCGAGGGCCAGACAGGAGGGAGCGAGTTTGGATACTGTGTTGGTGTGGCCTACGGGCTTGGACATTGGCTCATTACTTCATTAAATTGCTCTATATGGATGGTTTTCTCGGTGCATTTGTACTCTCTGCTTGGGACACGACTACTTGTTCAGCTGTGTGATTTCGCAACTTGGTTTTATGTATATCGTTCACACTCATATTCCCTGCAGAATGTATAGGGAGGGCGAAATGTTAGACGTGAGACCAATGGTGGCCATCTATGACAGGGAAGCAGGTCTAAAAGACAACCTGCAGTGGCACCCTTGGTGGCAGATCTCACAGCTCCCATACACATCCCGGGGAACAAGCCTTTTGTAGCTAGTTTGGCAAACACACTGGCCACGGGGACCTTCAGAATTGGACTGGCGGCCCATGGAGGGAGTGAAAGGATTGCTCCTGCCACTTCTGGTCGAGATGGGGAAACCCCTGCTGCACTCACTGAGCCCCTCATTTTCACCCTGCGTTCTCGTAACCCTTCTAAACCTGACCCCCGGTACACTCTGAGTCATGGAAGACAACATGGAGAGAAAGGGGACTGGTTGACATACCCCCCCCCCCTGCCCTGGACATAGTTTGTATGCAGAACTAGATATACGGCAAGATGGTTCAGCCTTACATCCAACTTGGGACTGGTTGACATACACCCCCCCCCCTGGACATAGTTTGTATGCAGGAAACACGCCTCACAGCAACTGAAGAGCACAGGAGGGGCATTGAAAAGGAAATAGAAAGGAAACTAAGGCACATTGAAAGGGAGGAATGGGTAGACAGTCCAGACTTGGCCTCAGCTCCAAAGCTGTCAGAGACAACACGGAGGGAAGATTGATCGAGACCGACTTTCGCATATCACCAAAAGATAATTTACCCTCTTGAACATCTATATGCTCCAAACACAAATGCACAGAGAAAACAGTACAGTTAGACAGAAGTGGCCAAACCAACACCACCTGGTAAGAAGTTGGCGATTGCAACGCCGTTCTAGACCCGCAACTAGTTGGAGTCGCACATGCTAGAGAGGGGGTCGAAGACTCAGAAGAAGCTCAGATCACACTGGAATTCACCACAGAAAAGAAATCGTATGATCCATTCAGGAAAAAAAAACTCCCCAGAAGCTAGGAAGTTTACATGCGCCAGGAGGATGCAACAAGGTAGAACTTCCTTCTCAAGAATAGACTGTTTCCTAATCTCCGAATCCTTTGTAGGTGTGGTAACAGCAACACAGCCATTACCAAAGCCCGCTTCCATGGGGGCTTTGATCATCATCATAGGCAGGTGGGCCTACTATTGTCTTTGGGAACAGGCAACCAGTCGGGGTGCAGCTTTTACAAGGTGAACAATTCACTACTAAGACTGGAGGGATTCCGGGAAACAGTCAAGCAAGCACGGATGGAATGGAATCAGCACCCAGCCTACAAGGGGAATCGATCGGAGAAAACTTCACTAACGGCCTCCTTAGGCTGAGCACGCGCTTGAATCAAGAATATCAGAAGAAAGAAGCAAGGAAGAGGAAGGAAAGACAAAACTTACTAGAATTGGTAGTAGAAACGGCAGAGTACAACCTTATTCGTTACCTGGGCTCCCCAACGTACGAATCTCTGCTGTCATCAGCAAAGGAAGAACTTGCGCAATGGGCCGAATGGAAGAGGAAGGGCTTGAGCATAAGGGCAAGAGTCGGGGAGTGGGAAAAGTAACGAACTGATGAGTGAATTCTTCTTCCAAAAAATCAAATCCAATAAGAGAAAACAGCCAAATCCTAGAACTCAGAGACGAACAGGGAATGATGCAAAGTGAGCACACAAGCCTATTAAGAATTGCTTCAGATTTTTTTTGCGCCGGCGCCGACCGGTAAGCGCTAATCCCACAGCGCTAATTTTCGAATCCGCGCCGCGGGCCTTGTTACCGCCACGCGCGCACACCATCACTTTTCGAACGCGAGGTGGAAGGCGGGAAACGGAGAAGGGAGATCGCATCGCATCTCGCCACACCCCCCGATTGGACCGAACAAGACAGCAAGAGAAGAAAAGGGACGGAATGAGAAGGGGGAAGTTTTAGGCGGAAGGGAGGAACATCAGGGAAAGGAGAAGGGGAGAGCTGCGGGGTGCAGCAAAAGACAAGGGAGACAAGGGCTGGCCAGAATCAAGAAAAGACAAGCGAAGGAGGGAGCAGCTTATTGGGAAAGAAGAGGAAGAGAAGGAACACGATACCAACGGAGGAAAAAGACCAGAAGGGGACTACACAGGCGGGGAGCATCATTACCTCTACCTAAGAAGGATAAAGGACAGAGGAGAAGGGAAGGAAGGAAAAACACGGAGGCAAGGGCGACACTAGACATAATACCGACATCTCAGACCTAAGAATAGTAAGGAGGAGGAAGGTCACGACAAGCATCGCCCAACCAAGCCGCGCCTAAGGGCGCGGCACCCTCCTTTTTTTCCTTGCCCGGAGAGTCCAAGAGGAAGGAATCTGGCCGAGTATAGGGTCGAGAAGGAAGCGAGCTCGGAGAAAAGAGGGAAGGGAAGGCGAGAGAGGAAGGGGGGTACAAGAGGGAAGTAGGAACGCGGAAGAAAAGTGAGGACCAAGAGAGAAAGGAGTGAAACACCCATCGAAAGGCGCGGACCAGAGCGAGGGCGGAAGCGACAAAGATAGCGAGTGCGAGAAAAGGACAAGGAAGTAATGAGGAAGGAAGAAGCCAACGGAAGGCTAGCAAGGACTATCGAGACCAGAACCAGACAAGGTTAACTCGCCCACCCACTCCCAAAACAAACGAGGTAAGATTCCAGGGAACACCAACACAACACCCATTCCCGGAAATAAACGGCGGCAAGGGAGCTTCGACATAACGGGRGGAAAGAAGCAAKAGAGGGGACAAAAGCAGGTGGAGGAAGGGTGCACCCGCAGAGGTCAGAAAGTAAGGTCTAGSTACCAGGAGTTAGGCCCCGCAACGGGGAGGCGCTGAACACAG